CATAACATGACGACGATATAATTGGAAACCGAATCGTGATCAGCCACAGCACAGCAACAAGAATGAGTATCAAATTATTTAAGAAGTGAATAGTGTCAAAACAGAAAATGAAAAGGAACGATAGGGTTGGGGTAGAGGAGATTTTAATGACTGAAAACTAAGACGATGAAAGGAGACGGAGTTTGACAAGTCTTCTTTTGTTTACACGGTTCAGGTTTCTCCATATGGATGGCAAGAGCTTCGGCGAGGCGGAGAATACGAAGATTTACAATGTTTGTGAGATTTCTTTTCACTTTATCGATGACTTTGAAGGCGGAGGTTCATGAGATGGGGTGATTAATGTTCACGATGTGTTTAATTATAGCAGTGGTGATCGCTGCATTATTATCTCTTTGTAACCACGCGGGATGGTGCTCTTCAACTCTTCTGGATAACAGTAATATCGAACGACCTATATACCTGCTGCACAAGAGCAGGTGAATTAATATATGCACACAAGTGGTCAGATGAGAAAGATTCTCTCTTGAGTTGTTAGAAATCGTTGGTCGATGGCAGAATACTAATCTCAGCGTTGATGCAAAGAATGTTCTCCTTAAAGTGCTTGATATCCTCCTTTTTAGAGTGTCAGTGGCAGAATCACCTTTGAAGTTAAGATTCATATAGTGTATCTTTTCTGGCATGGTGGTAAGGTTTATGTTTGATGCGTTTGTCTATGAAGCGTGGTGGGAATCTGTTTTCAATCAGGATGTTCTTTGAAACAGAAATTTCCTCTCCTAGCACATTGGGATTGCAAATTCGTCTAATGCGAATAGCAAGAGATATGATCACATTTCGCTTACGACTCATAGGGAACCAGCTATTAAATTTCATCATTTGACCATTCCACATGGGTTTTCTGTGAACTGATCTACTTAAAGTTCGATGTGTTATTCTTGTCAGCTGTACATCAAGAAAGTGAATTTTCCGTCTATTTTAAACCTCAGTGGCAGTTAGTAAATATTTGTAGAACATGATTTAAATCATATTGACAATCACAGATAATAAAAGTAACGTCAATGCGCCTTTTGTACAGATGAAAACCTTTAATGATTGATTTCAAGGGTCTGTTCTCCAGTTGGCCATAATAGTGGACCTAGTGGGGATCCCATAGCTATTCCATCTTTCTGCCTGTAAATCGCGTCATTAAATTTGAACTGAACGTTGAATATGCATCTAAGTAACAATTCCTTGAGGCGGAGGGTCAGTATCCCAACATTTTTATTGTTGTCTGCTATGTATCTGCATAAGAATGAGATAGGTTTGGCAAGTGGAACATTGGTGGAAAGTTACTCAACATCAAGTCATATCTTACATTTGTTGGATACGTCTTCGTCTCTTATGCAACCAATAAATTCAAAAGTATCAGATAGACAGTGGATGACAATTCGTCTTCTTACAGACTCTAGGATTTCAGCTAGCCATTTCACGATTGTGTGGTAAGAAGATTCAGATATGTTTAGAATCGGACGAAGGGGTAGGGATATTTACAATCAGCAGTACAACACTCCGCTTAGTTAATTCACCGAAATTTTGATTGGTACAAGAAGAAGTGACCAGGCAGTCAGAGTGATTACAATGATTCAGGAGATAAGCATCACATGAAAGTCAGGCAAAACTCCTCAGTGACTGAGCTGTAGTTAAGACACTGTCAACATGGCCTCATTCATACACTGATAATCCGAAGGCGGTTTGTTCAAATTTTTCATTTAATCATCAATCATCATCCATTATCTATTTTTCTCTGCATTTTGAGAACTACTAAATTAGCACAATGTGTAGCTTAGTAGGTTATTAGCCTTTGTAATAAACAATCCTTTATGTTTTCTGAGATTATTCATTTATCAATGTTAGATTCCCTGGTGTAAGCCTTAAAAACTGTATTGAAATTAATTTTGGCAAAAACTGATTTATCCTCGAATTAAATTATAGATGTTCAGTAGACTAGTCTTGTCTTCCATATACAGAAGTTTACATCATGATCATTACTTACTGAAGTTTATTCCATATTTACTAGGTACTATACACACAAATCATGTGAAATGAATCGTTACTTCTGATGATCGGATCAGTGATAAAAGTTTGATAGTTGTGAAAGCCTCTTATTTAGGAATTGTTAGATTTTAACTTTTTTTTTAACTCTGGGGCATTGAAAATTAGATAAACAGTAAGATTGAGCTCTTTTTCATATCGTAGGCTGTTTAATACTGGTAGTTAAACTCTAGTTTCAATAAAGGATAACCGACACTTTATTACTCAATATTTTACATCATCACTCATATGATAAATTGTCAACGCATAAACTTTGTTGACGTAAATTAGATTTACTGAACAGGCAGACATATTATTCAGTGAGTTTACAAACTTATAACACCTACAATGATCTGTGATTATATTCCATATGTCCAAACATGACATATCCTTTCTGATAGCAGATTAGTAATCATCGCCTTACTGAGTTAAGTATTCAAACAATCAGTGGATCAGTCATTCGATTCTCATCCCAATCATTAAAACTAAAGCTGAAGAAAAATATATCTGGCTAACTGCTATATATATTCACATATAGATGTTCTCTACGAGTCCCACTTCTTTTTTTATCCTTCTGAAGACTCACTTGTCTTCGAACGAGATTCAAAACTGGAAGAGTGGTCTAACCTATCTTAAACTTTTCTTCTATGATATCATCTTAGTTTTTTGATAACAGATGCTGAAGTAAAGAAATTTCTTTCTCAATAATATATAAAAACATTTGAAAGTAAAAAAACGTAGTCAATGTTCCTAGAAATTATAGTTTTCATCATGTTATACTTCATAGTGTTCTTAACTTAGTTTGTCATACCTTTTCATAAGTTCTGTTTCTATGACCTATTCTCAGGTAGTAACATGAACCAAACCATAATCATGGCATTCACCTTGTATAGTTACTAAGTTAGCAAGTCAAAAGTGAACCAACCTTCTATTCATATTGATGACTAACTGTAAAATACACGACTCAGGTTTCGTCCTATTTAGGACTCGTCAGCCAGATGTAGCCGCACCTAGCAACAACTGACACCCGTTATAAAAGAGGTGGCTATCATGCCAAAATAGAACAAAATTCGCCCCCTTGGTTCCTCTACTATCCAACAAGATTAATATAACATCATAAATATCCGGCAGTAACTAAGCGTCTACATAGGAGCTTATATGCCAACAGAGGTAAAGGACTTCGGCCATGTATAGTAACTAGAAATTATAACTAACAAAATCTGAACCAGTCTGGTATATAATTTATTAGAACACCCAACTAAACATCTGTATCCTGTACAGCATAACTCAGTGTTTGCATACAATGACCTGTTTAATATCCAAGAGAATGGTTATAAACGACTACACACGTACACAATAACTGTATCACATATCTTCTGGTACAGACGATGACGAAAAAGACAGATGGACATTTATGAGATTGTAATTATTGATGAATATGCTTGGACGAACCTCAAATTGGCAGGGTAATCCAATGTTATAAGACAGAAAGGTAATTGGAAAAAAGAATTATATAGCACAAAATAGTTTCTTATCTATTTGGTATACTTTGAAAACTTGAAGTTATGCGTAAACAAAGATATTACTTTAGAAGTAGTATTCATCATGGACTGACGTCAGTCAGACAACCAGTGAACATCTGGGAGCGCTGGACAGCCGTTTCGTTCTAGTATTGGACACCTCAGCAGTACGCACCCACGACCCGGTTAGGGATCCAAATCAGGACCTTCAGGTTTCACGGCGAACGCATTAACCATTCAGCCACTGGGTTGGTTTTCAGTGGTTCACAGTTTCCAACTACTTCTAAATTAAAAAATCCCCACTCATCTCAAAAATACATTACTGTATAGTGCTCATTAGTGACTTGCTTTCAGATTGATATCACGAAGCTTTAATGACAAGCCGTGACCTATGGAGTCAACCAATCGGAAGTGAAGTGAATGCTAGCTGAAAACCTTGGGTGTCAGTTACTCTATGTCGTGAATTGACATAAGTTGGAAATTGTGAATCACTGAGAACCGACCTAGTGGCTGAATGGTTAACGCGTGCGCAGTGAAACCTGAAGGTCCCGAGTTCTATTCCTAGCTAAACAGTGGGTGCCTACTTCTGAGGAGTCCCGTACTAGGACGAAATAGCTGTCCAGTGCTCCCAGATTTTCAATGGTTCCCCAACTGATGTCAGTCCATGATGAGTACTATTTCTAAATTAAAAAGTCCCCATTCATCTCAGAAAGATATTATTTGATTATTTGAAATAGCCGTAGTAGACTATTTGTGATACTGGATGGTGATTGAAAGTGAGTTGAAAATTTGAACCGGATTCAAATCAGTAACCACCAGTCATTCGTGAATTATGGTCTTCAGATATCCTACACGTATATGAATTTACATCTAGAGAATAAATTCTCTGAAAAGAGATCCTTTCTCTTTTATTATTTAGTAATCATGAATTATTCTGTATAATTGAATTTTGAGGGAGTTGTGGGGATTTGGAAATATTTCAAGTTGTTATTCATTGTAGACTGACATCAGTTGGAGGAACAAACGAAACCTGAAAGCACTGTACAGCTGGGGGCAAAGCCTGATGGTTGTGAGGACAGTTACTCAACGATGATATTGGGTGGCGGTTGCGCTAGATCGTGAGCTAACAGAAGTTGAAAATATGGACCACTGGATTCCGACCCAGTGGCTCAATAGTAAAGTGCTGGCCACGAAACCTGCAGGTCGCGGGTTCGATCCCCGGTGGGGTCGTGGGTGCGCACTGCTGAGGAGTCCCATACTAGTGGGATGAAACAGCTATCCAGTGCTCCCAGGTTTCTTTTATTCCTGCAACTGATGTCAGGCTATGATGAATAACAACTTGAAATATTCTGTATAAATCATCAATTTAAAGTGGTCTTAGATACTGATAAACAGGACAAAGATTAAGCTCACTTTCAGCTTGATCCAGTTGCATTGTATCTTCATCTAATTCATCTTCTTCTTTACAACTGAAACGTACTCGTCGATCAGAACAGATACAGGTATTCGGTTTGATACATTCACCATGTTCTCCACAGTTACCAGCACAAACAGCTACAATTCAATATTAAATTGAAAAGACAATAAACATTATTCATAGTTGGAAGTTCAATACGATGAAATCATTGACATCAAGGAATTTTCAACGGTGAATTATCATGTAAAATACAATTATACTTCTTCAGTGAAAATAAATACATACGAGATATATTCAATTTAGAGGTTTGCAGAGATTTATTTATTAATTTTTGATTGGCATTCATCATGAACTGACATCATTCGAGGAATTATTGGAGACCTGCAAGCGCTGGAAAGCTATTTCATCGCTGTATGGGACTCCTCGGCAATGCACACTCATGACCTCACCGGATGTCAAACTTGGAGCCTTCAGGTTCCGAAGCCATTAAGCCACTGGGTTGGAATCCAGAGGTCCACATTTCCTAAGCTGAAATTCATCATTCAGTTGCTTCCAATACTCCTGTGTTATGTACTTTGTCTTGGATGGTGAGTCAAGAAAAGCGTATAGACATCATTATTGATGAGGAGATAACTATCTGTTAATTGCAAGATTCAATCACGTTTATCATGGACTGGCATCATTTGGAAGAACATTGGAAACCTTGGAGTACTGGACAGCTGTTTCGTCCTGCTGATATAAGACTGTTCAGTAGTGCTCATCCACGACCCTGTCCCTTCAGGAACCGAACCCAGGACCTTCAGGTCCCGTGGCCAGTACGTTGCCATTGAGCCAATAGGTCGAAATACAATGGCCCATATTTCCAACTTCTATCAGTTAACAACACAGCATGGCTATCACCCAATGTCATCACTGAGTATTCGTTCTCACAACCACTAGATTTGCCAGCCCATGATGAACATCAACTTGAACATCACTGAATCCCCACAAACACCCTAATTAATTTAGACGTTATTGTCAACATGAGGTCAAAGAAAATCTTGCAGTCGTTATTATTATTAGGGTTATTACCACGATTTTGAGTGTGTTTTTATGCGTGTCTTGATGTTGATTCTCTGGAATCCTTTGAATATATATGAACCGATTTCATGTTCAATAAGAAAACAAGAACTTCATAATCCGGGGTCAGTGTTAAGTCTCACTCAAACGATTTTCAGTGTATGTCGTCTTTGTAACAAACTAGGTACCTCCTTACCTAAGCACTTAAATAATCAGTGTAAATAGATTAGATCAGGTCCCTAGTATACATGTCAGAGAATAAATTAAAACTCATAGGAGCGACGAAGTTGACTGTTTCAAGGATCATCTCATAGAATAATAATTGAGTGGGACAGACGTTGTGAAATAATAAAATGGTGTGAGGACAAGTATTCACTTGACCACTGATTAAAGCTTGGAAGAGGCTACCAGAGGTTTTCCAAACATCTAGTTGGTTGTTAAAATATATTCTCATAAGGATTCAATCGAACTCGCTGCTCAACTTCTTCCAGGACATTCTTAATATCTATGGTCTGGATATTTATAATTCCAATTACTATTATTTCTCTCTTGAGTTCCTAGTGGAAGTGGTCATCCCATCGTTTCCTTTGTTTCTCCTCTTTACTATCTAACTTTCCTTAACTATCTCTCATTGGTCTCGTCTGCACTGATCTCTTCCCTCCAAGATAGTGTTGTCAGGTCAGTCTCTCCCACCTACAGCCTATTCTGATTCTATTGCCAATGTATCGTGGAAGTGTCTTTTGTCTTTCCGCTCACTTCTTTGCCCAGTGCAGTGTTTCATACATTGTATTCAGTTACTCCTTTCGTTGTTCATCCTTGCACTGCACTACACTACACTACACTGGCTCATCTTCTGCTTCACCATCTCCCTCTCACTCCCCTATCAACTTCCATGTGTCGGTCGAAATCCATTCCTTGTCTTGTCGCTTCTTCTCCCTTCCTAACACGGCTATGCAGGTGTTCCTGCCACGTCTCTTCCACAGAGGTCCAATGTTCTTCCATACAGCTTTATTCATGGATGTTGTTCAATATCTCCCATTTTGTCCTGATGGCTGACGATGTGAAGATGTCCTTTATAGTTTCGTCATTCAGTTGAGTTTCTATTCCTTGTTGTTGAACTTGGACTGTGGTTTAACATTAGCTTGTTTGAAGACTTACAACTTTATTTTGAAGTCAGGTTCCTTGCACTAGATAGTGAGTGGTGTTAACCTACGTCTGATCCTTTTCTTAATGCCCTAGGTTACTAGTTCACTAGCCGGTCCTAAACTACGATAAAAAGGTAAGACTGGGTGTGGGGCTAGCGACTCTATCCCTTAAACCCAATCCAATCGCTAAAGAAACTCTAAAGCACATAGAAAATATAAAAAGGATTTTACACCCTTCCCCTATTCAGGAAAGTACATGCGAAACTTTACGTAACAAGGCTGAAATTATTGTGCTATTTAAACCTACAAACTCATTTAGAGATAAGCTTTGTTGACTGGCTTAAGCATTCGATAGTCCAATTGACCAACCTGATCTAATCCATCAAATTTCATGTAACGACTATGAGATCAGGTACATAGGTTAGAGCAGCTGATCGGAGTCAGTTATATTAACGGGACATAGGAAGTTGACCGAATACAGAATGTCTGACCTTTGTAAGATCAGTAATTTAAGAAAAAACTCGGCAATTGCAATGCATGCATAAACAGGTGACCACAATAGAGTGAGATGAAACCATTGTGCCCAAGTCCATCCATTATAATTAAGTAGGGAGACAGAAAGAGAGAGGGATTGATTACTGATCTTGATTCATCGAGTCAAAGCCCAACACGTATTATAGGAATGACGCAACACTTATACCAGAGATATGGAAGATTTTACTACCAATAGAAACATAGATTAAGAGATGACAAGACTATAGAAATCAGATATTGAATGTTGTGTGATTGCAATGATCTTATGAGCAATAATTAATTTATGCTAGAAACGTTCTCATGGCGTAAATCATGCTTTATCACTGTATTTTATAAAGCAAACAAACTCCAGTCACCATCAACGGGAGAAACTTAAAGGAAGTAATCTCCTTCACCTATCTAGGAAGCACCGTCTAAACTACAGGTGGCATAGACGAGGATGTCAAAACCAGCCAGGATAGGAAAAGCAAGACAGGCCTTCATTAGCCTGAAACCAGTGTGGAGATCTTCTGCACTCAGCATGTGGAACAAGATACGGATTTTCAACACCAACGTCAAGTCAGTGCTTCTGTATGGTTCAGAGACTTGGCGCGTTACGCAAGGGATTTGCAAGAAACTACAGACATTCATCAACAATTGCTTACGCTCGCTACTGAAGATCAGATGGCCAGAAAGAATAAGCAACAAGGAGCTCTGGGAACGAACCAACCAAGAACCTATCACTCAACAAATATGCAGGAGGAAGTGGAAATGGATTGGGCATGCACTGAGAAGGCCGACTGGGGACATCACGCGTCAGGCCCTCGAGTGGAATCCCCATGGGAAGCGACGAGTTGGACGTCTGAGGGTGACATGGAGGAGATCGTGCGAGGAGGAAATGAGAGGTTGTGGGCTGTCGTGGAACCAGGTTCAAAAGATCTCAGAGAACAGAGGTCACTGGAGACGTGCTACTGAAGCCCTATCTTCCATTAGGAACCCAAGGGACTAATAATAATAATAAGCAAATCTAATATGGAAGAAATACAAACTGAAATGCCTACATTCAAGTACATATCATCAAATACTTATACTTATACTAGCACTGTTTCAGTAGAATGGACTCAGTTACACTTCAGTAATAACCAATAAGATTATAGTATTTGTCAGGGTCACATAGAATAGAAATAACCAATTAGAATATTGTTAGGAATATGAGCGCCATCCACGAAACGACCGGAAATCTCAATCTTCTTGGCCATACAAGCGGGTGATTAATACTCTGACCATTCTAAAACTCTAAGATAGTATTCACCATGAACTGGGATCAGTTGAAGAGCCATTGAAAACCTGGAGGTGGTGAATGGCTCTTTCATTCTATTATGGGTCTTCTTAGAAGTGAGCACTCATAACCCCACCATGGAGCGAACACAGGACTTCCAGGACTCATGTCGAGCGCGTCTAACACTACGCCACTGTGGTTATTCTAGGATTCTACAGTTATCTTCTTGAATTCATTTGTAGCGTGTCAATTTTTAACTAAACTACTCCAGGTGTACAATTGAATCTCTCTAACTACACTGTAACATATTATGCACTTTAAATTATAAAGTATCTTAGTCTACACTCGGTTTATCAACAGAGTTATAATAATTTGTAGGCGGTTGAAGAGAAAGCATAGAAATACAATCTACACTCAAAGATTCATTTTTATCGTATCGTTTACAGTTGCAAATGTATAAAATTTATTGATGTACTTCAAAGTAGTTCAGTAAAAACACAATCTTCCTTAGTCTTACCAATAGAATGATGAAGATAGAGTAATCGATAAAACAAGGAAATTGTAGTAATGATAGACAGTGGATAGCAGTAGAATTCAGGACGTGTGGTTCCTAATATTTAGCATTCGTAAGTTGTTTATACTAAGACTAGGATGCAGGACCAATTGCTTCAAATACTGGAACATTATACATTAGATCACTAATCGTTATTCTTTCCTTATTCAAACTCATAAAGATGGTTAGTAATCACATCAATGAAGTCATAACTCACATCATGGTTCTCCAAAGTAATCTTTTTGAAATCATTAGAAATTCCCATTGTAATTTACAGCTAATTGAGTGAACAAATAATATATATATATATATATATATATATATATATATATATATATATATATATATATATATATCGTCGAGGAAGTGAATTTCAGAGCCCAGTAGAAAGCTATTAGCGAGATGTTAACTTACGAACTACACAGATCACTCCAGTTAAACTGGAAATTACGTTTTCCATGCACCCAAAAGTGACAAAGAGAGTGAAAGATGAATTGCAAAGACTGAACACTTCTTATTGTGTTTATCAGTTCATCTGTTCTTTTGGAGTCAGTTATATTGGTCGCTGGTCTTGGAAATTAATTTTAT